CTGTTCCCAATTATACATATGCTCAGTTTCATTTGTAAACCTCAATAGCATTGGCATGAATCATATAAACAAAGATGTGTTTGGTTTTTCAGAGGAATCATTTACCTTATCGTCAAGCATGAAATTTATGGCATCTTCAAGCTTATGAAGTGAGAATTCATCTACTGGGATTGGTGCAGGACCTACTCCTCTAGCGTGCACTCTTTCTCCCCAGAAAGGTTGGTCTCCAAAGAAAGGCACGATTGTAGTTGGGCACTGTGTGTTTATAAAAAAACGCAAGACACTTGCATGTTAACTACTAAAGTCTCATCTCATGAAGCATATTTTCAAAATAAACTTACCGCTGCTTTAAGACCTGCAGCCGTTGTTCCAGCACCTCCATGATGAACCTGAAATCAGAAGAGCAACAGTTTCAGGCTTACAGATGAGACTCAGAAAGTACTAATCCCAGGTCTTAAGGATGCAACGAGAGCACACACACAAAAGAAAAGAAAAGAAACACAATGCCAAACATCAAATAAGAGACTAGAAAAAGCAATGCTAAACTATGGAAGTTCAAGATTATTATAGACATACCACTGCCTTGCATCTCGGGAATAGCCAGTCATGTGGAACATTGTCCAGCAAGTAAACAAAGTCCTTCGGTTCTTTCACTGTATGAAAGCCACATCAAACATAAATTAAAATAATATATCCATCTGGCAAGCAAGCAATAAAAGAAAAGGTCAAACGGAGTATAAAAAGAGTAGACCCTACAGTTTCCAAGGCCACCCCAGCCCTTGTTGATGATTCCTCTCTGTTTGGTTCTTTGAAGTGCTTCCACAATGATTTCAGTCATTGTTTCTGGTTCTTGCACAGGCTTTTACCACAAATAAACACACAACGGTAGAGACATTATTTTTCAATTTCTCATAAGCCAATTAATTACGCAGCCATAGAGTGATAAGAGGATCCTCTAGAAAATACTATTCAGGTGAAGAAAGTGAAACAAAAAAAACACTCACGAGACTACCAAAGCCGATGTAAATAGGTTTGTCACCAGCTTCTAACCATTCCACAAGTTCTGCAGGAGGTTCATAGTTTGATGCAAGATCAAGGAAGCAGAATCCCACTACATCGATTTGTGGCCCCCAGTCTGAAAATAAAAGAGAAGCAAAGATCTAAATTGCTAAAGAAAACGTCATGATTTCATCAGTAAGCTCATAAGACACACTACCTTTGGGCTTTGGGACTAGATGAGGACTCCACATATATCCATATGGAATATTAGAGCCAGAGCTTTGTGTTCCACTTAGATATGTAACAGGCCGTAGCTTCAGTTTCTTCTTCCTAAGGTCATTTATCATGTCCCTTATTCCAAGCCAGATCAATGAATCGACGATTTGATACGAAAGCTGAAATTGCATTAAGTAAAAGTCAAGTTTTGTAGCAAAGTAATCGGATAACTCTGAGTAAACAAGTCTCACTCTGTATCCTGCTGGTTGTTTGACACGTGACAAAGGGTGTGGAAATTCACTGGTTGGCCTGTATCATTGTTTAACAGAAGAAATATAGTGAATGATTCTGACCAGAACGGATATAAAAGGTGTTTTAAAGCAACAGTCAATACAAGACTTACGTCCAAGGCATGGTGAAAAACACGTGAATCGGTATCCTTAGTGCTTCTGCCACATGGGTATGTCCTGCAATGGCGATTCTTAAGTTAGTTACCATTCAAAGTGGGCCTATGATAAGTCAGGAAAACAAAACATCTCAATGCTTCACATCTCCAAGCTGTGAATGACATTGCAGACGTAAGAAGACAGCCACTAGCCAGTAATTTGAAAGCTACTGAAACTAACCATATGCTGGAGGATTGGCGATAATTGCATCGGCTTTAAAGGAGATCCCAGAATCTGGATCAGGTTCTTTACATGCTGGAAGTAGAGAATTTATGATGTCCTTCATTTGGTTTCGTTGAACTGGGATCTCTGATGGGCCTGATGGCAAAAACCCCTTGTTCTTAACCATATCTGTACACAAACGTAGCAAGGAAACCAATAAATGAATTGCTAAGTAATTTTAGCTACACATAGAAGTAACAGGGATGAAGAAAGAATGGGAAAAATGTTTGGTTAATACATACATTCGGCTAGCACTTTAGGATCTCCACCTAAAGGATAAAACTCCAATCCAGCAGTCAAAACAAACTCTTTAAAATTTGCATGAGTTGCAAGTCTAACTCTATGCCCATAGTCCTGCATAAACAAAGCAATCAATAAATAATTCAAGTACAGAACTTCCCATTATTTTTTATGAACATGAAAGAAAGAAGAAGGAAGAGGCATATACTACAACTCCACCAAGACTCATAACACCAAAAAAATTTCAAAATATAAAGTTATATGGTTATAAGATATGTGCCAACCTGAAGCTTTTTGGCAATTGCAACAAAAGGTTGAACATCTCCACGCGTTCCAACGATTAGCATGACAATTTGCATAGGAGGGATGTATTGAAGATCAACACCATCAATAGACTCATCAGGACAAACACCATTTTTGAATTCATCACGGTCTACAACAATAGGTTGAGGGATAGCATCTGCTGGGACTTCAAACTCAACAGTCCCATCATGTTTCACAGTAGCTATACGGTTCAGCAATTTTAGCTGCAAAAGAAAAAGATACGAGATTTAAATAAAAGTAGAGTGAGAGTAACATTTCCCAATAAAGTAGGAATCATAAGAATAACAAGACAGGTGGTAAAATTATAACTATAAATAGAAGTTTGTAACCTTCTTCCCTGCAGAGAGTTTGTCATCGAAAATCTTAGCGGCATCTTCGGCAAGAATGTGAGTAGTAACTTTCTGCTGTTGCCTCTCAGTCTTTGATTTATCTAACCTAGGCTTTGATGCTGATGATGATGATTCAGCCTTATCGCTACTCGAAGAACCTTCCACAGGCATTGTCCATACTCTAGCAAAGCTTTTATTGCCACCACCTGAATAAAAAAACCCCACAAACCCCCAAATCATCAAAACCACACAATGAACTTCAAAACCAATGTTCAAGAAACCGTTAGGTAGTAACACGCTTTATATGAGATTATTGATTAGGCGGACATCTAGAACGATTTTTTGAGCGAGTCATTAAACAAGTTTATTGATTAGGCGTTAGAGCATCTCCATCCCTACTCTATAATTACTCCATTTTCTTTAAAAAAAATGGAGTAATATTTTAATTTTTTGTTCATAACTCTATTTACCATTCCATTTTTGAGGAAAATAGATTAAATTATGGAGTGGGGATGGAGATGCCTTTTAGGCGCTTGTATACTTATACAAGATTATTGATTAGGCGGACGTCTAGAGCTATTTTTGATTGATAATAGTAAAGTTCAGGTCCTATTTGCTGACTAGGCACACTGCTTAAAACATTGTTCAAAACCATCCAAAAAAGGGATTGGATCCAAAGAAATGAATCAACTTTAAAGCCTATCAAATTCTGACTTGTGTTCAATTTCAGGGGAGAAGCTAGAGATAAAAAGAGATACCTGAAGATTCAGCAACAGTAGACTCAGGTTTGGTCTCAACTACTTCAGAGCCATTGACGACGACACCGTCTTCAATCTCCTCGATTTTTACGGAAGCACGGTCTGAGCTTGAAGATGATGATGAAGAAGAAGACGAAGAAGCTCTGCCGAGTTTAGCCGGCGATGTTTCCGGCATCGTATCCTCTCTCTCTCTCTCTATCTCTATCTCTCCACGATCTGGATTCTCCTCTTCTTATAAACGATCGAATTTGCGTAAGCGTGTTTTTGTGAATCCCCCAGAAAGTATAATTATACGATTCTTTTCTTGCAATACTTCAAAATCGAAATATTTTAAAAAGAAAATGAAAAATAAAAGTTCGATTGTCTGTTTAACACTCTTGGAAGAGAGAGAGAGAAGCGGCACGTTCGGACAAAAGGGGAAGATGGCTGCGTGGTGTGGTTCGCTCCGGTTTAGGCTACGATTTCGCATATAACTGTCGGAGTGGTGGATAGTTTGGTCAATTTTTATTTAAATTAGAATCAACTGGCTGGAAAATTGGTAATAAAGATTATTTGAAACGCTGTCGTATTCTTTGACAGCGAATCTCTTACTCTCTACTGTCATTTCGTATTTTACGTCTTTGTCGGCTTTCTCCTTTTCCCACTCCTGAATATAGATTCACAATTAAGATTCTTCTATGTTTTAAACCCAAAAATCATTTGACCTATATTTAATGTGAATTCACAATTAAGTTTACATTTAATGTGAATTCACAATTAAGTTTACATTTAATGTGAACACTGACGAACAGGTTTTATAGTTCAACTATAAAATTAATTCATTAATCATAAGGTGCTGTGGTGTAGTGGTTATCACGTTTGCCTTACACGCAAAAGGTCTCCAGTTCGATCCTGGGCAGCACCATTTTTTGCTTTTTTTCAACTGGTTAACGTAAGAAATTTGTTGAGGAACTCATCCAAAATTTTAGTTTATCTAAATCAAGTCAGCATATGTTTTGCTATTTATTTGTTCATCTTACTCCACTACTCTTGACCTAAAAAAACATTATTAGAATTTTCTTTTGTTTCAACGCATTTAATTAACTTACAACTGGTAATACAAAATTTACAAGACACCATACAAAATTTTTAACAAACACAATAAAAAAAGGTAGGCCATAATTAAATACAAGAAACAAACCATAAGCTGATTTTAGACTCGCCTATGCAGAAGAAGGTAAAGAGAAGAAAACAAAAAGGAACCTCCTTCCTAAATACTCTCTTGCGTTTTCAATATGGAAACTACAAAAGGGAGATTTACAGAACTGTTTTCCAGACAAAGATAGATATGCTCCTTTCTAAAAACATTGAAAACCCTTGGGAGTGGTCTGTGGCTTGTGCTACTAATTTTAAAGGTCTTTTTAGGTAAAAGTAAATAGCAGCAGCAAGGTTGCCTATATAGCTTAGAGAATGAGAAATGGAACAACTTAGGCTTGGTTTTGGTAACTAGCACCACCCCTTGAACGACCACCATTACCCATCCTTCCACGTCCACGAATATATCCTCGACCACCACCATATCCATATCCACCTTGGCCTCTATTATATCCATCATCTCTACCACCACCGTACTTGTCACCTCTAAACCCGCCTCTCCTTCCTCCATATCCTTCGTCTCTGCCTCCACCAAACACATCGTCTCTCCCACCACCAAACCCACCTCTACCACCGTGATATCCATCGCCTAACACATATCCAACAATTGTATTTAAAAAAATAAATTTAAATATCGAAACCAAAAGAGGATAGCACTTGAAACAGAAGGGTTTAAAGCTATGTGACCACCATATGCACTAATCAATGTCATCCATCCACATTGTTATTTTCTAGGCTATAGTTATATGACAATGTTTTGACTTACCACGGTAGCCATAGCTCCGGCCACGTCCACGGCCTTTGCCCCAGTCTGAATAACCGCCTTTATTTTCTAATCAAATCAAGATATAAAAACATGAACGCAAGTTGATCATTAGCCTTCATTATGTTACTGAAAAATAGATATCAGCTTTTCAGAAGCACAAAAATGCAATAAGAATCCAAAGATAAGAAAACGTAATGAATTTCTTTTATGGCATAACCATACCTTGAATATCCTCTTGATAGTTTCCTTGGTACTTTCCTTGATAAGCCCCTTGGTAGTTACCATATCCACTTCTTCCCCTGCCTCTTCCTCTGCCACGTCTCCCATGACCATACGAATCTACATCACCAAATTTTCAAGAGGTGTTATGATAATAATAACCGAACATTATAACAGCACAAAAAAATTACAAGAATCACCTTCAACATAAGCATTGTACGGAAGGCGAGTTTGTCTTCCTTGTTGTGGCTTCAACTGAGGCTTCAACTGATCTATCTGTGCTGGAGCTTGGTACCTGAAAAACATTTATAAGCCTTTGTTATAGGTATATGAATACAGACTTTCCATGTTAAAAAATGAACAAAAGTGAAACTCACCCAGGATATTCTATATTTAACTCACTCAGGGACAAAGTGATTGAAATCATGGAAACATAACGCGTCAACTCCACCCTGCATCACACGTTAATTCACTTAAAAGCCATCCAAAAAAGGAAAGAAAGAAGAGACCAGAGTATAATGCAAGGCACTCACGGGAGAAGACCTTCTTCAGTAGGTTCAAAGACATCAGTAATGCTCATAGAACTGATAGTAACATCTTGATGCAAACCTGGAATTTTACTCTGCAGTATGTATTACAAAACCCTAGTCACAAATTACAATCAGATGATTTTATATAGAAGGTTTTATCAAGTGAGCACTAACTTTGAGTATCTCAGAGATGGTCACCGTTTTGCTGATAGCCTGCCCCATTGCCTTCAACACAATGTCTTTCACACCTTTCTCCTAAAATCATAAAAGGTAAAACAACGCATTTTCGTGTTACATGATTTTAGCAAATTAGAACAGAGGAAAATAGAGTGTAACCTGAAGAAGAGTGGTGGCATAGCTGATGTAGTTTTTTATAAGGCCAACGCTGGTGATACGTATCTCATTCTCGTTGATCGCAGTAGCTAGTCTCGGTTTCTCAACTCTATTGTATCTCTCCATTACACCAAGCAAGCAGATGAAAGATCAAAAACCCTACGTTTTAGAGAGAGTGAAGTGGGAAAGGAGGAGTTGGGCTACAGAGAGTGTTGAGTGAGTGAGAGTGAAGCCCTTCTTAAACCTTAGGAGGAGGAAGATGAACCGCCAGTTTCAAGCATCGGGAAAGACCGACGATGATATGAAGAAGGGACACACACACCAAAGAGCCTTGCGCTATTTTGACTTGACCAAAACGGTATTAATTCCGGGAAAACAAAAAGAAATTTAAACCGCTTCAAAATGGGTCAGTTTTCTTCGGATCCGGATCCGATTCTCATGCAAATCCTTTTTTTTTCTTTTTGACTCAATCGTGACTAACACGAACGGTTAGATGTCCATATTATCTCCATTTTTGCCGCGGATTGTTGATAACAATATTTTTTACGTCTAAAAGTTTCAAACAGTCTTTTTAAGAATGACGTGCAGTGAACGTACATACATTCATGCTTATGGGTGTCTTCAAAAAAGAAACTAAATGATAAAGCAGCTCCTTCATCTTCTTAATTTCGCTATGGTCTCTTTTTCAAGACTAAAGAATCAGTCCGAACCCAAACTCAACAATAGCTGAATCATCTTCTCAGTAGCTTGCTTCACACTCTCTTGAGTTGAGACCCTATTTCTGTGTGAACTTGTTGGCTTTGTGCGAAACTCAACAATGGCTGAACCATCTTCTCTGTAGCTTGCCTCACACTCTATTGAGACCCTATTTCTGTGTGAACTTGTTGGCTTTGTACAAAGCCAGCTTCGATTCACACTTCACCTGCCAGATAAACATATTGCAGCTCAAAACTAAACGCTCTGTAGATGTTTTAAAAATATTCGATAAAAGTATACAGTAAAATCAAAATCGCTTTGATGAAGCAAAACATATGTATATAGAAAGTGAGTAGTAGCACATAAATAAACGCAAAAAACACACTGCTTCTTTTCAATCACTCATTCTTCAGGCAAATCAAGAAGTACAGACATTGGTATTTTAGCATCGATATGGAAACCGTCTCCTTCATCCATCATGTCTGTATCTTTGAAATCATAATCTCCGTCCATGGCATCCTCACCACCACCTGCTGCTCTCTTCGCCTTCTTCCTTTTATTCTTCTCTGCTTTCTGCTTCTTTGTATTCAACATGCTTTCAGCTGCGTATAGCTTCCTGTTCTGCCTGCTCGCTTCTGACTTCAACTTTCCTGTGTCTTCCTCCTCCTCTTCCCCTCCCATAGACTCATCATCATTCATAAGACCAACATCCTCTTCTGTGGTCTCAGTCTTAGACCCATCCTGTGATAAATGACCAAAAGGTTAAACCATAGCAACCAAGTTACAAAGCGAATCAAGAGATAATTTATTAACCAACCAACCTCGGTCATAGTTTCATCGAAGTTGAGAGGACCATTCGAAGGAATCTCAACAGGGTTGAAGTCGCTAACAGTCTTCAAACTCCCAATAAAAGAAGATTCACCACTGTAAACCTCATCGATGTTGAACTCCTTAGCCAACTCTGTCACAATCTTTGACTCTGCGTGTTCACCTTGGTCCCTCTTTGGCGGCATTGTATAGAATGGAATTTTACCTGCAAAACACCATTCACATACAATCAGTTAAACAGAAGAAATTTCAAGTTTATGAGTGAACTAAAAGACGATAATATCCTCACCTTCATTCCAGTCATGCAACACAATCCTCGCAGCAGCTTCGATATCCACAAGACCACCCTTCTTAAGCTTACCCCTAACGGTGGCTACTTTATAAAGAAAATCATCAACTGCCTCAAAGCTCGGGATCTTGTACAGAGTCACCAGCATTTGTGATGAACAAAGCTTGAGAATCTCCTTCACTGTATTTCCCACAAAGTAGGAAGATTTCACAGTTAGATAACTGAGATATTCGATTCAATCATCATTGCATTATTTGAATTTCAAACTACCTGGACTAACTGGATCTTCCAGCTTCTCGATTCTTTTACAGTTCCGGAGAGCTATAGAAGCATCATTAGCTGAAGATTTGAGCATCACAACTCCAGGACAATCTAGTAGCTTCACGTTTTTGTCTAAATGAACCTCTTGCAGAGACCTAGTCAGTCCAGGAGTGGCACCAACATTGACAACATGAGCTCTCTTCAAACTGTTGATAAGACTACTCTTCCCAACATTGGGAAGTCCAATAATACCAACTGTAATAGATTTTTTCAACTGCCAAACAAAGAAACAACAAAGAAAGATTAATCCCAAAACAGGATAATACAACTCAATGAAAACAAATTATGAAAAGACCAACCTCATGACTTCTTGAGTAGTTCTTCAGCAATTTGATAAGAGTGTCTGCTCCAAGACAATCACTCGTCTGCAAAATATTGCTTGGTTTTGATGCCTTTGATGATTTCCAACCCAAGTTTGATCTCTGTTCCTGTGTGCTACATTTAAAGGCAACAGCTGGAAACTCTTCCCTAAGGTACTTAAGCCATTTCTCAGCAGCCTCTCTCGGAACAAGATCTGGAACAACAAAGAGATTATGAGTCTAATGACAACAACAACAACAACAACAACAACAACAACAACAGAACGAGAGTAGATAATTTTCTATAGAAATCTTTACCAATCTTGTTGAGAAGCAACACGAGGTGCTTATTAGGACCAGCTTGCATCACCATCCTCTCCATGTCGGTACAACGCGTGCCGAGAGGATCACGAGCATCAAGAACCTCGAGAATGACATCAGATAAGTCAATGACTTTCACAAGCTCCTTGTAGAAAGCCCTCTCCGAGTTATCTGTGAAACAAAACAATAGACATATGTTAACAAAGGTAGATGAAAATCAAATAAAATATTAAATAAAAAAAGCTCACCTCGAACATTGACAAGTTTAGTTAAGTCATCTCCACTCTTCCCTTCTCCATATCCTTCTTCTGTCTTGGTATCCTCATCCACATCAACAAGCTTCCTCTTTTTGGCCTGAAATACAAACACAAACATCACTTCATAATAATTATTACAACAACACCAAAACAGCAAGACACAAAAGAACATGTCTTTAACAAAAATACATGATACAAAAATCATAAAGATGATACCTTTTCTTTATGGGCCTCTTTCTTATGTTCAATCTCCTCGAGGGCACGGGCACGTCGAGCTTCTAAAGCCTTAAGCTCTTCCTCCTTTAAAGGCCAGTCATTGGGGATACCTGGATCCTTCTCTACTTTTGGCTTACGGTTAAACCCGAGCTTATTAGCTTCCTTTGCTTTCTTCTTGTGGTGCGCCTTCACCTTTCTTAGAACCTTGCTCTTCTGCTTCAAGGTTATCCTCTTACTCTTGCTCTCTGCAAAAAACGACAATCACAACAATCAAAAACAATTCAATAAAAAATATAGATTCAATTGAGGGATTGATTTAGCAGCTTACTTTTACCACATTTCGCCATCTCTTGAGAGCGAAGCTTGAGAAGGTTTGGGAAAGTAAGGGTTTATGGAGAAGGAAAGGAAGATTATCGGCGGCAGTTAGGGCTTTGCTGTTAAAAAGGATTTTGGATCACGACCCGACCGGACTCTGTTTGAGACAATTAGGTCTGAAGAGTGAAGGTTCGGTAAGATCGGTTCAAAGTAAATCGTACCGAAACAATCCAAAATAAAATTTGGCTTGATGTTCGGTTAATTCCAAAAAATATTTATTTATTTATTTATTTTTTATTTGATTTAAATTTAGTTTTATTAAAATTCGATAAGTTCGATTTGATTCAGTAAACTTTGTAACAGTTAAGTTTTGATTTAATTAGTTATTTCATTTTTTTTCTAAATATAAAAAATTATATTCAACTCATACCAAATTTTTAAAAACGAATTAATTTGATTTCGAAGCAAGCTAACCAAAAATTACAGTTTGACAAATAAATCAAACCCGAAATCCGATCTTAATCAATCTGATAAAAATGAATCGGAATCGATCCGATAGAAATGAATCCAAACCAATATGAATCCGACACAGATATTGAATGAATTTTATTTTAAGTTATTTGGGATTATAGATATTATTCGAACCAAATCCAAACCTAAATGAATATCCATTAGAATCCGAAATATTTAAAATCTCAAAAAAACTTGTAATAAAATGATCTCAATTCCTGATATATATCTAAAATACTTTAAGATATTATTGAATATCTAAAATAATTATTTATTACATGGAAATTGATGGTTGAAGGTGACGATTAAAGCTTTATGGTTTTAGATTTTGTTTTTGTTTTCATTAAATAATGTTTTTCATTTTATGAGAACTCGATTTTCGTTATATACTTTAATTTAATTGGTTTCCTTTCTACTGATAATTATATTTACCTTTCATTTTAATTTTCCTTTTTAAATCAATTTCACTTATGCTTTGGTTATAAAATTTGTAAAAATCAAATTTTAAATCCGAAGAATCGATTTTACGTATGTTTTAGGTATAAAGTACGTATAAATCAGATACTTTTAAACCGAAGAACCGATCGGAACCCGAAGGTATAACAGATTTTACTAGTTCTTTGAAAATTTAGAAAACCGATAAAACCCGAACCGATCCCAAACCGAACTATCATATAACCCGACCATGCCTACTTCTGAGCATAGAGTCAACAATAAAAGAAAAAGAATTAAAAGTTTTGGGGTGAGAGAGGCTCGAACTCTCGACCTTCAGATGACTCTTATAGCTATGAGACTGACGCGCTAGCCAACTGCGCCACCACCCCGATGCACTACCACCTTCAACTAAAACTAAATAACGTTAACCTTTAACTTTTACTTCTTTCTACCTGTGTGATCTCGCCGGCTCGAAGCTTGCCGGTTAAACCCTTGTAAAATCCCCAAACTCCTGAAAACTCGTTTGACCAAAAGCCAGAAAATGTCTAGCAGCAGAAGCCTCAATTTGAAGAAAATCTCATGGCTTTCTTCTCGGATCCTCTCAGGTTCGGAGAGACTTTAAAAATCGTCTCAAAGCTTTGCTGTGTTTTTCTTTTTTTTTTTCACTAATTCAATTGTTCCACTAGGCAATACTATTCACTGGGGATGTCGGCGAGCTGTTGTTATTGGTGGAGACAGGAACATTTCGTCGAACACATTGGTCGGAACTCGCGGGTGAGTTAAATTCGAATTAATAAATTTATAGTCTTTTGATTCTGGGTTCATTTTCTAAGTTGTGTTGGATTAGTTTCTTTTCAGATTTGCGTCAGTGAAACGAGTGTCTCGAGCTTCTTCGGCTTCTTCTTCTCCACATGGTGATTTGCTTTCTTATGTTAGAGCTTCACTTGATAAACTTCAAGGTACTGATTTTAACTTAAAACATCTCTTTTTGTTTGTAAATAAAGTTATGAACTTTGAATTCTTTAGGTCCTTCCCATCATTGGTTGAATCGTGACACTGAGAGTAAACAGCTTTTCAAGGAGAAAGGGACTTATGTAGTTCTCGCTGGAGACTTGCTTAATGGAACTAGTAGTGATCCGAGTTGTTTCTTTGAGAAACTCAAGTTGCTTCAGCAGAGGTTTTAAGAAAGTTCCTTTGGTTACGATCATGGAAATTTAACAAGGTTTGTGGCTAAGCGTGTTTCTTTTTAAGGTGTCATGGAGTCTGTTTCATGGGTATTCACTTTAGTGATCAAGCTAGAATCGCTGACGATAGAACTGCTTTAGCTGAGTTGATTGTGAAGGAATATCTTACTTTTCCTGTCCTACTTTCTGAGAAAGTTCCAAAGGTAAATATTATGTTGTAAGTTACATATTTTGTTTATTATTTTCTCAAGTTATGTGCGTATTTGTTGATCTGAATCGAATGTTTTGCTACTTGTTTTAGTCAAGTGGAGAAGAAGTACGCTACTTCGTGTTTAGAGATTTTAAGAATCCTTTAATCTACCAAGACAAGGATATGGATATTGCTTCTGTAGCCAAAGGTAATGCCTACATCACTAACAAATGTTCTTAAGCAATGCTATAGCTATTGTCATATCTTCAATCTTACTCAGAATCTAAGAAGGCGAAAGCATCAAATAGTTCTGTTGATTTGTGTGCTTAATTGTGTATTCTGGTTTCTTCTTCTTGTGCTTTTCTGCAGCTCTTGACAGCCTCACTCAAGATACTGATAAATCCAAGTCAGTCAAACTTTTCACGAACACTTGGTCAAAACAGGCTGATGCTATCAAGGAACCACATTTCTCTTCTTTCTTGCAGGATTTGTTTCTTTACTTTCCAGGTATATATATTTTTTTCAATCTTCTCTTCTCGTCTTATTTATTTTTTGGTCTTTTGAGTTTTATCTGGAATTTACATCTTATCTTTCATGCTACTCTGTAAGTACTCTTAAGCGTGTGACATTCTCCGTAACAGGTTGTATCTCTGCAGACGAAGCTGGAGATTGTCTGTTTCTTTCTGATAGCAACCATCATCGTATTATTATATCCAATAGTAGTGGGGAACTTTTAGACAGTGTAAGTGAACTGATTCACATCTGAGAAAGTCAAAAATTACTTTTAGAGAAAAAAATGTTCATGTTTTTGTTTCAGATTGGTTGTTTCCCAGGTTTTGAGGATGGAGAATTTGAATCTGCAAAGATGTTACGTCCTGCGGCCACCCTTTATGACGAAGAGGAGGATTGCCTATACATTGTAGATTCTGAGGTATGGCTCCTAGAAGAAAATTGCAAATAAATCTGATCACTGATTGTATTCATGTTTAGATTGTTTTTAATCTTGTTTCTTATTCTTTTCCCCCATTCTTTGAGTTAAGAACCATGCCATTAGAAAAGCAAATATAAAGACGCGGGTCCTGGAAACGGTATATCCAAAGGTTATCAAAAAGAGTGGTGGCTTATGGTCTTGGGTAATGGAGAAAATGGGTCTTGGAAAAGATGACGATACAACAGTTGATACTGATGCTAAATCAGAAGAGTCTGATTCTCCCTCCCTGTTGTTTCCATGGCATATACTGAAACGTGATGATGATAGCCTTCTAGTCATAAACAAAAGGTAAACATATACTAGTTAAAGTGGTCTCTTGATTACATCAGAGAAAGCTCATTCTGGTATCTTTTGTCATGTTTTTCAGCTTTTCGAAGTTGTGGATAGTTAATTTAGCTTCAGGGGAGATCGAAGAAGTCGTGGAAGGTTAAACATAAACCATCTTATGCTACTGCTTGTTCATCTATTGTATCTAATATATATTATTTTTATCAAAATCTGAAGGGTTGCAGGGGATAATGGAGATCTATGGGGAACTGATCACGGAGAAGCTATCAGTCTTGAAACATTTGCCTTCTACTTGGTTGCAACAGCAAACTAAAGCTATCACCTCATGCAAGGATCAGCCAAGTGCTGCTCTTTTGTCTTCTTTCTCTAAATTTGGTGACGACATTGTCATGACAGATATAGGTAAAACAAAACTGATAACAGCTTCGTTTACATAGTTTGATCTCTTTGCATCAACTTATGTGTATCTCTCTACATATGAAGCTGGTCAGAGGGTGTTGAAGCTAAATAGAGAATCTGGAGCATGCTCTAGCATAAAGTTTTCAAACATTGGGATCCTTGGGTTGCCGTATTGGTTGTCCACTCCACTGGAGAGAGTTTTCAATCTGTTAGTGATTCCTTTTCCATTATTTAAGAGCACTATTCTTGCCCTAAAACTTACTTACTGATGTTGTGCTCTTGTGGGTTAAACTAAAACAGAGCTAGCGGAGTACAGGAAGCACACCTCAGCCATACTCATCAACTCCGGTTATTACCAGGTGAGACAAACCCTTAATGGCTTTGACATTAGCTGCAGCACATAGATGGCTTGACTTAATGTGTTTGACTTAACAGGTAAAATTAGCATACGATTGAACATAGAGATCCCTCAATGCACAGAGCTCGTTGAACCGGTACAAGAAAGCTGCATCTGGCGACAGGCAAGAGGCTCAATCACTGAAGTCTCAAACGCTGGAAGTTCACTGGAACCTTCTGAAAAGGTCCAAAGATAATTACATTCACTTTGCTCTAGTTTAGTTCCGAGGTGGCTCAAGAAGTTTTGTTTGCATGACTTGCAGGTTGGAGTCTCACAACAATGGTATGATGAATTAGACAACCTCGCCAAAGAAATAGTTAACCCTGAATTAGCTGAGGAAGAGGAAGAAGAGAAAGAAGAAGATATCTCTGAGGTCGAGGGTGAAGATGATGGTCGGATACACATCGATTGCACAGTCAATACAAGTCCTGGCACAAGCGAGGTAACGCCTAGAATCCTGGTTTAGGCATCAAGTAGAGCCAAAAGTTTACTAGTTTCTGGTTTTTGTGCAGCTTATTGTTTATGCAGCTTTGTATCTAAGACTTGCAAAGAACGAAGAGACACAAGGTGCGAGCCAGGAAGAGCTGGCGAGAAGAATAGCAGAGACTTTAAAGCCAGCAAGAAACATGACGACTATGGATGAAGAGTTGTTTGTGAAAGTGTTCTTGAAGTCAAAGAGAGAAGTGAGAGACATTGTCTTCTTGAAGCCAGTGCATGTGCGTGTAAGGTTTGACACGATGGATCACCCAAAAGCCGATAACTCAAGAGACATTATCTTGACTGATTCTTCTGCTCAGATCAATGTCTCTCTTGGAGGAGAACAATGCTGATGAGTTGTTTCATACTCTCACACCACTAAAAGAAACATTCATAGTGGCATTACAAGGTAAACAAAATTATTGGTCAGTCACAAATTATTCAACATCAGAAAAATTATATAATCCTAATGGATATTTGTATAAGTCTCAATCCTATTTGCAAGAGCCTCATTGAGAAGGTTGTTGACTTGATTTTGTAAACAAAAGAGACAAAGAGAGATCATCATTGTTACCAAGTCATTTCCAGATCTCCTGCATCTGTTTAATCTCAAATTTTAAAAGAGATTTTTTGGAATAATAATAATGTTACAATCATTTCATTTTTAAAATTACGTAGTTCGTGCAACCATCAACATTACATCCAACCCTTTTGTTGCATTTTATTTTATTCACTTCATGGTCTCCATGTCATTTTCTTGTGTCTTTTTAGAGAAATGTGAGGCACACAAACATGAGAGCAACGAGTTATGGACCCCATTATTCATATCTATTACATTAAATTAAACAAGTAGTTTAGTTGCCTATATTAAGAGAAATTCAGAAACCTAAACCTGAAAAATCCAATTTTCAAGGAGTCTCTTCAGCGCTTCGGATCCCGAAGGTTTTGGTGTTGATTTTATTTTTCTTGACCTGGGTTTTGTGAGATCTTGGCGATAAAACATAACAAGGTGAAGATAAAGGGAAACACTAAGAGTTTCTTGGGAAAGAAGCAACCATTGTTTGTGAAGGATTCTAAGGTTTGTGTTTCTCTGAACAAAACAACGATTAATTTCCAGATAATTCTTTAATAATCTGAATACATCATTTCTCTTCTTGCCAATGCAGGCCTTCATTGATCTTTAATCACAAAAAGAAAGAAGCATAAGGGAAAGAAAAAAAGAGATCAAAGGTTGCTTGTGAAAGGGTTCATCGTTAAGGGGAATAGAGAAGAAGATGAATTGCTTTTCATGCTTTTATTTCCATGAAAAGAAAAAAACTCCCAAAGATTCAGATAACAGCCGCCGGAGAAATGGAGAGTTGACCGGTAGAGACAACAACAAAACTCACCCTGGTAAGCTCAGAAGAAGAAAAAAATCTATATAAATATTTTAAGCTATTTCAGTTTTTATATATGTTAGGGTTTTACATGTGGTCCTTGCAGAGAAAGATATTCCAAATAAGACTGGAGATGAGCAGAACAAGAACAATGATGCAGAAAAAGAAATAACCAACAACATTGCTGCTCAAACCTTCACCTTCAGGGAGCTAGCTACTGCCACCAAAAATTTCAGACAAGAATGTCTGATCGGTGAAGGCGGCTTTGGTAGGGTTTACAAGGGCAAACTCGAAAAGTGTGGCAAGGTTAGTATTAACTAGCTAGTTTAAAGATAGCTTAATTTGACTTAGCTGGTCACATGAAAAGGATATCAATATTTTAACTAGTTATGTTCATACATACTACTCCCTCCGTTTCAAATTGATTGTCACTCTAGTGAAAAAAAAATCGTTTCAAAGTGTTGTTTTAGAGTTTCGAGTCAAAATTTATTAGGTTTATATGATGTTATATTTTCTATTGATAAAAAAGTAGTTAAGTGTATAGGTAGTTGCGTTTTTATTTTGAAAATATGTAAAACTAAATGTTTCCTTAATTTGTGTACAGAAACCTAGAATGCAATTAAAATGAAACAGAGGGATTATAGTATTTTAATCATTTTAATTGAAACCTAATTAGGTCAATATTTGATGAATCTTGAACATGAATTGATACAAGAAGTCGTTTTGGATTCAGATTGTGGCAGTGAAGCAGTTAGATAGAAATGGTCTGCAAGGGAACAAAGAGTTCATCGTAGAAGTGTTGATGTTAAGTCTCTTGCATCACAAGCATCTCGTGAATCTCATTGGTTATTGTGCTGATGGAGATCAGAGACTTCTTGTCTATGAGTATATGTCACGTGGTTCCCTTGAAGATCATCTCCTCGGTAAAAAAAAAACTACAAAACCTAAAACATCAGTATATTCACTAATTTTATATGACTAGTTTCAATATTTGATATGTTGATTGAAATGTTTACAGAACTAACACCTGACCAAGTACCATTGGATTGGGACACAAGGATCAGAATCGCCCTAGGAGCCGCAATGGGTCTTGAATACTTGCATGACAAGGCAGATCCTCCTGTGATCTATAGAGATCTCAAGGCAGCTAATATCCTTTTGGACAGTGACTTCAACGCCAAGTTATCTGATTTTGGGCTAGCGAAGCTAGGTCCTGTCGGAGACAAACAACATGTGTCTTCAAGAGTTATGGGAACTTATGGGTACTGTGCTCCTGAGTATCAGAGAACCGGTCAGTTAACCATTAAATCTGATGTTTATAGCTTCGGAGTTGTGTTGTTGGAACTGATCACTGGTCGAAGAGTTATTGATACGACCAGACCCAAAGATGAACAGAACCTAGTGACTTGGGTGAGTTTTGGCCTTGTCCCCAATTTTTTTTGGAAGGTTTTTAAGTTAGGAATTTCTTTTATATATTTTATCGACTGATCTGGTCGGTCTCAAGAGGAACATAGAACTCGCTTAATTACTTTTATTAAATATTTATGGTCTAAAACATCTTGTACAGTATCTAGACTTATTTAACATAAAAGTTCTTGTGTGTTTTAGGCACAACCAGTGTTCAAAGAACCGAGTAGATTCCCCGAGTTAGCGGATCCAAGTCTGGAAGGAGTGTTCCCGGAGAAAGCACTTAACCAGGCAGTGGCTGTTGCTGCAATGTGTTTACAGGAAGAGGCAACGGTACGGCCACTCATGAGCGACGTTGTGACCGCTCTCGGTTTCTTGGGAACTGCTCCTGATGGCTCTATCTCTGTTCCACACTACGACGACGTTTCCCCTCCTCAGCCGTCGGGTGAAACGTCCCGTGAGGATCCTGCGGCGGCTGAGGAACGGGAGAGAGCCGTGGCAGAGGCAATGGAGTGGGGAGTAGCTTCAAGGGCACATTCTCGGAACCCAAGTGCAGCACAGTCTCTAAATCCAAGTGCAGCACAGTCTCTAAATCCAAGTGCAGCACATTCCAGGAACCCAAGTGCTTCTTGATTATAAATTTTTTATATCTTTTTTTTTGTCTTCTTGATTTGGTTGTTTTTCTTTTTCTTTTTTTCTTGTTTGGCTTTTTGTTTTGAAGTTTCAGAGAATAGTGATAGAGGTTGTAATGTTCTGTTCAGTTTCAATGTATATAATTCCAGCTGGGTTTTCATGGCTCAAGACTACAAATTTCATGGATTATATACTCTTGGTTTCACGTGGTAGACGGAATAAAAATACATTATTTGATGTATATAACTTCAGTTTGATAATATTTTTTTATGTATTATTGGTAAAATTATTTTATTTTTATTAAAATATATAATATCTGATAATGTTGTTTTAATATTTTATATTTTTTTGAATACACAACAACAAATGTCATTAATACAAATTCCTACTGCACTTGACTGTATTCCTTTACAAAAAAGACCGCATTTTTCATCACCATTACATGAACCGTAGCATATTTTATTCAACTTCATGCCAATATCTGTTCAAACAATAATAAATATATAATATTAAAATTAAGTAGCAATCCATATATTAGTAAAACCAAAATAAAATGTCAAAGTAGTATTCTAGTACCCGGAATCATATCAGTGCAGTGAACATTTGATATCACGAAGAAAATAGCAAAACTAAATGCGATTAATAAATTTTTGGATGAAACCATTTTGTAGGATGTTTCTAATATTTTTTGACTCTTCTATTTTACTCTATATCGATGCATATTTATATTGACATAAAGTTTCATAAGATGATATTTTTAAAAGAAAATCCTTCAATTAATTTTCTTAAAGAAGATCTTTCAATTAATTTTATTAGATTGTATTCAAAATAATATAAGTGATTCCTTACCTAATTACATATGAATATTTTACATTATTTCAATTATTTTTAAAAAAAAAGAAAATTCTTCAATTGATTTTCTTAAAGAAGATCTTTCAATTAATTTTATTAGATTGTATTCAAAATAATATAAGTGTTCCTTACCTAATTACATATGAATATTTACATTATTTCAATTATTTTTAAAAAAAAGAAAATTCTTCAATTGATTTTCTTAAAGAAGATCTTTCAATTAATTTTCTTAGATTGTATTCAAAATAATATAAGTGATTCCTTACCTAATTACATATGAATATTTTATATTATTTCCAATTATCTTATCCAGATATAATTTGTATTTTAAAAAATAGTAATATATGTATATATATTGTTATTTTGGACTAAATAAAATAACCTTGATCTATATAACTTTGCAAAATATATTTATTTTATTATATTATATATATTATTTTAATATATTTTCATATTTTATATTAAATGTGTTCATGATATATAACAACTGGTTCTGAACTTTAACTATCAGACACTTGTTTCATTTAAACTTTTATTTTTAATTAATTCTTGTTTTTTTGGTAAGATCTTGATAAACTATGCACAATATATTTAGTATTATATCTTCATTTTAGATCTGGTTATTTGTGTTTTTGCTAATATATTCATATTGTTATTCAAACCTATAATTAAAATATCTTGTGATTTTTTTTCTTTTAGTTACACAACATATGACAAACTACATAATAACGTATGAAATGTAAATATGTCACATCATTTCTAATATTATTTTGAAAATAAGACCGTATATAAATATTGAAAATGCCAATTGTCTCAATGAACACTATTTCTCAATTTTGAAGTAAATTATGAGGTGGAGTTGGAAATGCTATTAATAAAAAAACTTAATTTGGGCCTAATAAGAAAGCTCAAATTGTAAGGTTAAAACGCTCTCAAGTTTTAGTGTTTATTCCCTCACTAACTAAGAGACATACAGTATATGTCTAGTAAAGTATGGAGGTGGGTATTAGGCCTTGTATACATCTTTGCCGTTGCCACCTTCGTAGTCCAGTCTGTGGTCTCTCCCATCACTTTCATTTGTAACTCTATTTTCTTTGTTTACCTTCCTCTCTTTGAGATCGGTCGGTATTTTGAAGATTCATATGGATTTTGGAGAAACAAAAGGTCTCATTTACTTTAACTGGTCGACGAATCAGACAAGGCTGTCTTGCTTGGTCAAGATGATGTGAAGTCAGATGGATTGGAAAGTTTAGAGCTTGAGGTTTGGATATGTAGCAAAGGGTTAGATGAAAAGGGACGTTGGACACGGATGCGTGTTGCTAAAGTTAGCCTTGTGATATTCCTGCACAGATTCTTCAGAGACCCTAGTGTCCTAACTGTTCCATATTTGCTGATTTTTTCTGAAAATTTTCTTGTGATTAGTCTGTAAATCACAATGTAGTTGGGAAAATAGTAATAAAATCGTTCAACGATCATGGACTCAGTTTCAATACAATAGCAAAAGAAACAGTTTAAAACTGTTTTATTAGAGACTAGGCAGATACATTGAGATGTCCATACTTTTGCATCACTCTTTTTGTCGCCATAGCAGCTGCTTCACTTGCTCTTAGTGTGCCTTGCGCCATGAGAGCTGCAAACTCACGGGTGATCTCTTCCTGAATCTTGGTCCTAGCATCACCCAATGGATCCTCCTTCACCTTCTCTTTACTAGAAGAAGCTTGAGCAACAGCAGGTGACACTTTCTCCGTTGGAACTGAAGTTTTGGCATCCTCAGACTTGGACGCTTTCTCAGCACTGGGTTTGCTCGGTAGTTTTGGACCTTCATCCTTGCTAAAAGCACCAAAAGGCTGTGTTGTCTGAGGCCTAAACTGGGGAGCGTTAGGAACAGCGCCGGCTCTTAGAGTTGTCTCGAGGTTTTGAATCATAGGCACTGCAAAGTAAGAGACGAAAAACAAATCAGCTAAAGCTAAAGCAAAACAGGTGCAGGGAAGAGATTGCAACTTACTTATAAGACCACCCATGGGGCTGTTCATGACCTCACTGGGAAGCTGAAGAATGTAATCAGGAATCCCTTTACCAACAAGAAACTGAGCAACCTCGTTGCTAAAGTTGTTACAGTTGTGAGTAAGCAGATTGTACGATTCAGCAGTGTAACGTGGACTAATCTCCTCCAAGTACATCTCGAACACATCTTTCGGAACATGCGACTCACCCAACTCTACAGTTCGCAAAGGTGCTCCATATGGAGTGGTTCCAGCAGGCAAATGCTGGATTCCTCCTCCGAAAAAGTACTCATTCCCATACACAACTATTCCCGTATGCCTGAGTAAAAGATACACATATCACATGTTATTATACCAGCTTACACGGCCAAGAAGACGACTCTAATAAAAGTAGAGGATACAAAGCAAAACAATTCAAAGCAAAAGCGTATATACAATCAGCTATTCATTAGTTTTAACGCATACAAACAAAAATGCCAATATCTAAGGTAAGTTAACTCACACCATGTTCTGCGATTGACTATCAAGTAAGTATAGGCCTTAACCCTAAGTTAATCCAACACTATGTAGCAAAAAAGGTTAAGAATTTCAGCTTTCTTGTAACATGTAGAGAGAGAGAACTCACCAGACACCTTCGATAACCTTTCCCAAAAACGAAGCAGAGAGCTGGCGAGCCAAGCCTCGGCTTAGGTCATAGACATTCAATGTAACCTTATGCGCTTCCTGCCATGTTATTTATTTATCTCACCAAATTCTTATCAAACTAACAAACGAATCAACACGCAATTAACTTCAAAAGAGAGATGAAAAGAAAGAACCATACCTCAGCCATTCTCAAATACAGTTTCTTTATACAACCGTGAAATGAGTTAACTACCTGAAAAGAAAATTAGAAAGCCACACAAATCAATATCCACGCAAGAGATTTACAAGCCAACAGATCTAAGACCGAAAGCGAAAGTTCAAGAATTCCGAAGATCAAATCCAGAAAACGATTCCGTATAAACTATTTAAAGGAGTACCCTCAAATAGGAAAATCCAAATCGAGAAACCACGATTCTAAATCGGGGCGTGTAATTGGTAAAATAGATAGCGATAAACGAGGGAGAGAGATAACATACGATGACTAAAGAAAGGAAATCGCCGCTCTTTCTTCCCCAGCAAGCTCGTAATAAATTTGTCGATAAGCTCAAATCTGAAAAGAGAGGTTTGTTTTATAAAGGCAAGCGACTGTAAATTTGAAGACGACGTCGTTTGATAGCGAACGTGATCCCCCACGCGGATTTATTCTGTACCGTTCTAGAAACTACCACCCAATGAGATATTGACACGTTTCTTCTCCTAAACAAATGGCCGGTTTGACCGACCAGAATCTTTGAATTAAAACGTTACGGAATTATAGAAGCTTCTTCGCTCCCTTTTTCCATAACTAAATAAAGTCTATCCAATTTTTTTTTTTTGGCTAATTGATTCACATTGTATAATTGTTATTATATGTAATCACCTTCATCAAGATAATCGTGAAATATACTATTACCAGAAGCCATCTTGTTCATATCCCTGATTAAGATAAATTGTTAACTCCCAATCTGGTACAAACGCAGAAGACAAATTGAAAAAGTAAAAAAGAATATGGTAACAGATGAAAAACAAAAACGTCTAATCTTTAGGACAACCGTTCGGGTTTAGGCAATCAAACCCAGCGCTTGAGAAAAGTTCTATAGAAAACAAATGAAGAAAATTCTGTAATTTCCCAAAACAACACACATTATGCTCGAGAAGCAGAGACCGCAATGATCCTGAAACTTTTGCCTCTCATACCAATAAACTGCTTAAGAAGAAGATTTTGAGCTCCTGAGGTGTTCTTTACTGGTCCAGAGAGGTGCATTTGTCACCCAAGTTGTGTCTGGAAAGAAAAAAATGCGTTGAACATGTGACCTTGGGACACTTCAGCATGTATTGCTATGACATCTAATGAAGGTTTCTTACCATTGTGATACTATTACGCATTTTGTTGGATTTGGCGGTGAAGCTGAAGAATCCAATCAACATAACTTGTCGAACCGCCCATCTGGTCTTCAATTAGATGTCGGAGGAGAAGGAAGCCTTCTCGTGGTTGTTCTCCTTGCCTCACTAGGAAACACATGGGATGATATGACGGATCATTCTCCCTCACTTTCTTTATCAGCCTCATTAGCTTCTTCGACATCCCATTCTCTTGCTCTTCCAGTGTAACCTAAAGTCCCACCAATAAGAAAGATACCCATACTGTGATGTTACCAGATACTTAAGAAAATCATGCAGATAAAAATAATAGCATGTCATGTCCCATCATAAGCAAGGATGCATGTAGGTCAAAAGAGCATTACCCTTGAGAGCTCTGCTGCAAAGTCAGCCCCAAGAAGATTTTTAGCAATGTCAGGTGAAAGCATTCGTCCAAACCACAAAACCAATCGGAAACCATCATCATATATGTAAAGGCCTCTAGAATCCAAACTCTCTGCAGCCAGAGGCAATCTCCTTATTACATCCTTAAGGTCACCAAGGTCTGCTGATGGCTGCAAACATGTAAATTCATAAATGGTTTGAAGAATTTTCGGAAAAGGGATAATTGATAATGTACATTGAGATAGAGATGCACAAACCTTTAAGAGCCACTCATCAACACGGAATAAACTGGGATATAACAGCTTCAATAGCTTTTTGACAGGCAGAGCCATCATGGTGAAGCCTGCCGCACAGCGCTCGTCAAGTGAAGCATCAGCAGGTCCACCTTGAAGAGGAGTGGATTTACAAATTGCCAATCCGTACAATGATAAGAGCTTCAGAGACTCTGGGTATATTAGTCTAGACCCCAACCGATGCTGCACTGCGTGAAGATTACGATACTCTCTGAGAGCTTTAACAATCTTTTGCTGTATGACATTCCGTGCATCATCCAATTTTGAGGATAAAGTTTTCTCAATTGCTGCAGGATAAAAACGGCCATGAAATAGTATCCAAAGTAACAAGTGATGCTACTGGGAAAATTGAGTGTATCGTACCTAATCTAGAATATACAGAGACAATGGAACCGGTGTCTGCTTGTCTATACATCTCTCCAAGATCTGTAACAACTGGTGCAACAGCTGTGTGTACCCTTATACGCCTCTCTCCGCAAGAAGCAGTGTATCTTAGTTTCGTCAAGGATTACTAAAACCAAATGATGTGTAGTACCAGCTAAAAATCAAACTAAATATGATTTAAATATTAACTATTCAAGGATACAGTAAAGCGACTTGGAAATACACCGTCGGGGTTGTTAGCAATGTCTCTTCTAGAGTTAGCTGCATTGCATATGCTTTGTCACAGTCAACAGCAGGAAGCGCAATCAGGTCAGTAGACCTTAACATGAAGTTCCCATGGTAGGTCGAGAAACGAATTCCTGCATACCCAAATATATAACAAATCTTAAGTGACATAACAGGTAACACAAATGAATATTGTATCAGACACTGTTAAACCTTTTCCACATCTTATTCGCATAACGGATTCCCACGCAGTTTCCCTTGTAAGGTCTCTAGTCAGCTCGTGTCTTAACTTTTCTCCATGAATAGATGACTGGAAGCCTGGATAGTAGTATACCTGTCCTCCAGTGTATTTTGCCAGAGTCCCTGCATGTAGTAAAAAAAATGAAACCTCCGCGTTTAAAACAGCAGTATTTGACGGGGGAGAAGAAGGCAACACTGTTCACTTACCTAAGGAGGCAATATCAGTGTACTTATCACTGAACGCATAAACATTAATTCCTATCTGGAATTTGGTACAATCGGCAGCCATTTGCTTATAGAAGGTGTCTTCAGCTACTCTTAAAGTATATTCTTTGTCAGTTCCATAGACACGAGGATCATCTCCCCGCAACTTTAACCGCCCAACACCAAGAGAAGGTAATGAGTTCTGGAAAATTAGTAGCTTGCCACCAAGTTGGTTCTGAAATAAAGAGGGAAAACAGAGTCAGCTACAAACTGATACAAATTTCAGATGAGATTACATACGCTGACATCAATTGAATTATGTGATTTTCATTTGGCATGGAAGAATAGTAACTAACCATAACCATGTACGCCGCTTTAAGGGCTGGACCAAAAGCTGATTCAACATTGCCATTATCTTGAAACATCAGAGGCAGGCTGTCCAAAAATGCTTCCACTACATTTCTAGACTCAGATAGATTGACAAGGAGATCGTCCGGTAATGGGACAAATATATCATCTAGATCAGAAACGACCATCATTTGCGGTTGACTCAAAGATGACTGCATTGCCCAAGTCCAAAATAATACTTGATTAAGGCTAAAATAGTTAAGAACCAAAATATCCAGTGAATTTACAATTCTATTACCTTCATGTTGTAAAAATGTAAAGTGCTGTCGTAAGTAATAAATCCAATTTGAGTTCTGGGATAACCAGGCAGGTTATCCAAACAAGACTTAATCGTTTGAGTAGCAACCTGCAAAAGGAGAAAAAGGGTCAGCATAAGATCTAAGTTTCACAGCATGCCTCTAAAGGGAAGAGCATGTCTAATCTAGTCTAGATCCATTGATACATAGTGTATTCAGATAAAAGCAGGTATGGATTGGTTCTTACTAACTAAGGAAGAATAATGTTAATGCAAAACAAAATTACAAGATGGAATATTAAAATCCAACATGCCTACCTCAAGCATCCCACTTTTAGTAGCAGAAAATGAAACATCAATGAGGAAGAAGTAGATTGGTGGCATCGGAGGCCGAACCATGTATTCTGTTGGAGCAATGATTTCAACACTGCCCTTTGTCAGCTCAGGCCGTTGATCCATGTCCATTCTTCGGCCGGTAGCATCCAAATGTGAGAAGTATTCACCAGGCACTGAACAAACATTAGACAGATAACTATGAATATTCATCCTATAAACATATCCCTGCAAGTACTGAACATAGAGCCATCGCTCAAATAGTATATGGAAAGTAAAAGGACATTCCAATGACTGGGAGAAGTTCATATCAGATTTACAGATATATTGACAAGGATGACATCCACCACAATAGAAAAAAAGCATACAAAAAAACCAAAAACAGTTTCTTGTAGCTTTCACCAGATCCATTTACGATAATTCTACTAAGACAAACATAACTGGAGAAAACTAACCATTAAGAAAAATCAGAGAAAAGAAATTGCACGACCATTAGGAAAAAATAATCCTGAAGATTGGTTAACAAAAATAATCCTGAAGATTCGGAAGATTCGGAAAAATTACCATCATTAAGCATAGAACAAATATTACACCGCCACTTTCTTCCAGAATCTGTAAAAGTAACATAAGGATTCACATAGGTACGACATCTTCTGCAGCGGATGATGCCACATGCGCCAAAATCAATAAGTGGGACTTCTTCCTGAACAGATAAAAACGACAACTTTCAAAATAAATAAGGGAAAAGTTATATGCTCATATATAGCAAGTGAAGTGTTCCATATTATCAAAACATGAAAGAATTTAAAAGACTTAATTATTAGCTTGACAAATACTAACCCCTTCAGGAGCCTCAGCAAGTGGACACACCACAGCTCCTAGAGGCAAATGCCACCTCGACGCCAGAGACTGAGAATTCGGTATCGCACTAGTTGTCAGCCTCAGATATCTAGAATGGCAATTCATAGGGTACGCCTCAGCAAACGAACTTGGCTCCACGTCACCATCCAAGGGCCTTGGGAATGAGGTATGATCAAGTCCTGGCTCAAGCGACCCCGGAATATTTGAAAGCGACAGCGAATTGAAATCTTCAACCAAGCCTTGGACGTTACTAGTTGGAGGCGCATAGCTTGGATGCAGATTCTGCTGAGCAAAACCTCCTGGCTGAGTAGGATACGATGAGACTGTAGACGGAGGACCCTGAGATGGAGGCTGGAATGCCTTTGGGGGACCCTGCAAGCCCTGATTGGTGGGATAACCAGGATAAGATGGCTGTGGACCACCACCAACACCAGGATAAGACGGATTAACTGGAGGCATGGACTGTTGAAAACCAGGACCAGGGGGAGAAGCAAATCCTCCAGATACTCCAGAAGTCATACTCTGTGGAGGAGGTCTCATTGTAACAGGCGCCATTGGTTGCTGTGGGCGGAAAGACATTGGAGGCGATAAGTGACCTGCAAGAGTCTGAGTTTGTGGTGGACCACTAGGAGGAGGAGGAGTTGGAAACCGCTGAAAAGAGCCGCCACCTGGAGGACCATAAGCTGGTGAAGGAAACGAATTAGACGATGGCGGTGGAGGTCTAATCCCTTGACCTGGAATCTGAGAAACGAAAGGAGGTTGTTGGCCAGGCCTCATCACACCTACTGGTGGAGCCATAGGAGGACCAGAAGGTGTGAAAGGCCTTACAGGTGGTCTAAAACCAACCGCCTCTGGTCCACCGGATTGAGGTGGAACACCTGGCGGCGGAGCAGATGCAAATGGAGAGGAGGACGACGGAGGAGGCCTAGCTGGTAAATTCGAAAAACCTTGATTCTCCGTATTCATTATCACTTAAAACAAAACTAAACACCTGAAAATCTTGAAGAAGGTCTATAGGCAAACTCGAAGCAACGGACCAGATCAGTTACAATCCTAGATTCTACCTAGACTCATCTATAATCGGTAGTTTCTAAATTCCAAAACTGGCAACTTCTGCGAAGACCTTTCGTCTCTTTCTTAATACGATCGTCTACTACGATTTAGATCTAGAAACTCCCTCCCCGTTTCGCTTCTTCTAGAGCTCGGAAAGATCTGGATCAATCACCGTTGAAAATGAGCTTAAAGAATTCAAGATTGAAATCGATTTTGATATATGGTTGGAGCGAGAACAGTTACCTCAAGTGAGAGAGAGGAAGCTCGAGAATCTTCGCAGCACGGAACTGATTCTACAGCAGCAGCGATCGGATTCAGATCGTGACTCTGAGAAGATTTGACACGTAATTGGAGAATTATGCCGGCGAAAGGAGACGATGTGATAATAATATGGGCCAGGATTGGGCTTACCGGTTTGTATGTATCGTTACAGCTCGTTTAACATAACCTCTCCTTCTCTTCCACTTGCACACTATATTTTATACTATTTCCTGCATCTACCTTTTCTATTTTTTTACAGTGTATATAATTTTGCGAATAAGAATTTTGTTTTTTTTTTTGAATTTAATCCAAACTAACGTGATTTTACTCCACCTGATTGGGAGAAACTGGGCCATAGGTTGTGTAGTCCTATCTATCCTCATTGCAAAAGGAATAATGCCAATGGGTCGTAGGTTTTGTAGTTATAATTTACTTTATATTGCAAAAAAAAAAATATATATCGTCAACAGCAGGGTTCGAACCTGCGCGGGCGAAGCCCAACAGATTTCAAGTCTGTCTCCTTAACCACTCGGACATATTGACTCTTTGTTTTTGTTGAATTCGTAACAAATTAATAGTGGTATTAATATCTCAAAGAAAACAAAACTTTGTCACTACTACTCACTATTCATTCATAGATTACTCATTTGATAGGAAAACAAACCACTGTCAATTTGTTGGTGACATGGTATGAATATTTTCTTGTATCATGTCAGAACCTCTTTAAAAATAATTAGATAAATTTAATGTAAAATGGCCAAGACTACTTTTATAAAAGGCTACACTAGTTAAAATTTCATGATCAAAGGTTGAAGATCTCATAAGAAAAGCATTTCAGTTGATCTATGTACATCTTGTCTCTCCATGCACATATATCATTAACCCGGAAATTCCTTAGCCTTATAATAAAAAGTGTGGTAATTGATAATTCACATTGATCATCAATAAATAAGAAAAATACTTCTGTCACAAAATTGTTGAAACATCCTTTATTTAGATGATTGCCTTTCACCTTAAGACTCGTTCCTCCTTACCCTTAGTTCTTATTGATTTTAGCCACACAAAAATTCTTCCAATTTAAGCAAGCAAGAACAAAGGAAAAACGAAGTCTAAATGATAAAAAGTTAGTAGAAAATCCAAAAGAAAACAAAAAAAAATAAACAAATTACCAAAAGAATACAATACAAACAAATAAATAATCCAAATTTTGGTAATTTTCAATTTAAGCTAAAACGTTGTTACACCATCATCTCCACCTGCCTTTGCCGCCAAAATCTGTTGTACACAAGGAAGAGCACAACGACCGGACTACGTGGCAGATGTCGGACCCACCAGGCTCTTCAGGACGCGGGATGTTCACGCGCGGGCCCTCAATGCGGGTCGGGTCGACTAAAAACCCGGAAGATTTCGCTGACGTAACCATCCCCGGAGACGGACCTCCGTCACGAAGCTTCAAGCCACAGTTTTCACGTCACGACTCCGTCAGAGATCACGGTGACGGCGAAGACGACAAGATCCTCCGTCATCCGGTTGTTAAGTTCGTGGACGAGAGGCAGATGTCTGCCAGAGAAGCCGTCGCGGCGCAAGAAGCTGCAGAAGCAGAGGACGATGACGACGATGAGGAAGACGACGAAGACGAAGAGGAAGATGACTCAGAGGAGAAATCTTCTGCGCCGAAGCAGACGATGTCGTTGATGGATCTGTTGGAGGAGACTGATCGTCAAATGGGGTTAACGGGAGCAAGATACGCCATGGACATGGAGGAAGGAGATGATGAATACGAAGAAGATGAAGAGGAGGAAGAAGAAGATGGAGGAGGAGGAGGAGAAGGAGAGGTGAGTTGCTGCGTTTGTAAGGTCAACATCAAAGGCGCGACTTTTACGCCTTGTGGTCATATGTTTTGTAAGCTCTGTTCTAAAGAGCTTACGGCTCAGAAAGGTCATTGTCCCGTTTGCATCGGCTTCGTTCTTGAGTTCCTTGAGATCTTTTAGAAAAACTAACATTTTTTGAGATATTTTTAAAAACTTTTATTTTATTTTATCCGAGAAAGTTTACATTCAACAGTGTAAAATAGACCGCTTAACAATCGTTAACAAGACGGTTGTGAATTCGACATCGATTAGGTTCTCTGACAATGTAAATCTGATCTCCTACTTTACTGTTCGAGTCTTGGTTCCTATACCAAGTCCACAATGCCCATGTTTCATTCTTCACCTGTGTAATAAATTAATCTAAATTAAAAACTCTTAACGTGTTTTTTGGCGCGTTTAGGAGTTAGTTAAATCTGTTACCTCTAATATTCCATGGCCAAAGCTGCTTTCTCTCAAGGCACTATACTCAGGCTGCTGATCCCAACAGAACTTACCAGTTTTGGTGAAGTTCCAACCGCAAAACTCCCCACCCATGGCGGGATCCGGTGTGGTTAACGGGTCAGGACATTTACCGGGTTCATCGGCGTGCTCAATCGCCATCTTTTCACGGTTACCTCCATCACCAACCACTATGTAAACAGGACCACATGGGTCTAGTTCGTAGTTATAAACTCTGTTCGACCGTTCGTAAGCATGGACCTGTAAATAAATGTTTAGACAATCATTACCAAATCAGATAGAGAGTTTAGTGTGTTCGAGACTTACATGTCCGTTGAAGACAATGTCGGTACCGTAAGAGTAAAGTAACTCCTCCATAGCTTCTTTCATACACTCAGCTTCTCTGTAATGCGCTGTGTAAGTGCTATACCAAGGTGGATGCCAAGATACTACTAACCATGGAGTTACCAATCTATCAAACTTAGCTAGATCCTTCTTTAACCACTCGTATTGTTCCTCTGCATAAACCAGACAAAAACACTTAGAAAAGATCCACAAATATGCAAGTTTAAAGATTCACAAAACCTGATTTGTCAAAGGAGATGTAGGCACCGAGCATAACAAAGTGAATCCCACCAGCGTTAAAAGAATAATAAAGCTTAGAAGAAGAGCCACTTTCTTTAAAAGGGAAAGCGAATCTTGAGCTATAAGCTTCAAACGTCTTGCTCTCAGCTTGTAACTCGATCTCATGGTTTCCTTCGACCACCATCAAAGGAACTTTTGAAGTCAGAGTCTCCATAAACCTACCCCAGTAATCCCAACGTGGCTGATACGTCTCGTGTATAGGCGTATCTGAGAAACTGCAAGAGTAACAATCTGAGCTAGTCCCGTTCGTTAGATACAAGTTTGCGTAGCTCACGTCACCGATCAGTAAAACAAGATCCGGAGTGTTTTGAAGTAAATGAGTAATTGTGTCTGTTGTGTTGTAAGTGAGACCAAGATCACCCACAACTGCTATTCGGCTAGGGTAACTCGAGGGGCTAGAAACCGGCATTGTCTTGAAGTGGCGTATCTTACTCATAGCGTGTCGTGAAGGATCTCCACATCGGTAGTAATAGACAGTACTTGGTTTCAGCCCTGCGTTTAAAACACATCAATCAGTTACTTTTTGTGTAGTTTTTGATGTGCTAGTAACTAGAAAGGATTGTCATTTCGTTTTTAAAGAGCAGAGAGAAGAACCTGTAATGCGAACATGGTGTATGATTCCAGAAGTATAGTTAAAGAGACCGTCAAAAGGGTAAAGTTGATTATAAACAAGTGAATGTCCTTTGGCTTCATGACTTAGTGAGTGTCTCAAAGTACTGAACTGGACAATACTGTCGATACTTGTCGGATCTAATGGCTTCACGTTCTTTCCGATTTGGAACTCACCTTTCAAACACAACAAGAGTTCATTAATAAAGTCAATTTATATGAGATTATTGATTAGGCTACACAGATTTTTTGAATCTAAACCAATTTTTTAAAAAATCGTTTTGTTTAGATCGGTTTTAATAACACTAAATTATAGAATAGAAACTTATAGAAGAATCTTATCTCTGAGATAATTGTGAGTTTTCATCAGTCACAAGATCCTAACTTTAGATACAAGTAACTGAAAAAGAGTTCTGTGTCTGAAAAGAGTAAAAGAGTTGGTAATAAGATTCGTTCTCTGAGCATTTATTACATAAGCACTCTGTTCTTTAAGACAATAAAAAATATTAAAAAAAAAATTACTAACTTGCAGAGAGTTTATACAAATCACGTAAAGGTGGTGGAGAAATGAACCTGTGATCCAAGAGACCCATATGGAATCGTAATCGTAGGAAAGGGATAACGAAATCTGCTCCGGCTCAAAACCGGTGACGTGGCGGCGGACACGAGGATCAGTATCAGGCAAATCGATTGCCTTTCCTCTGAGAGTTGTGTCTAACGGAACAGTCACCGGAACGAACGGACCGTCTAACGTTGACGGGATAAAATCGGCGGAGAAGGTTCCCGGCGAGAGAAAGCAAAAGAGAAGAAGAAGTTGAAGTGTGATAGAATCGTAACGAAACGTCATCGTTTTCACGGGTAATAGTGGCGGAGCTTTAGTTAGTAGTGGGCTGCTTTCTTATAAGAGAAATTGGCATGGCTGCCCCTAAGTTGGCCGATAATTGGTCTTTTGCCTCTGTAACCTTTAAATATTTTCAGTTGACGATTATACCCTCACCTCACAATTCGGCGAATCCTGTCGCAAGTCAGACTCCACTCTTTTGTCCGTTGAACAACTTCACGTCTCTTCGTTTCCCCAACCTCTCTCCTTTCACGCGTGAT